ATGAGGAACTCGTCCTCCGGCAGTCCGTATGCGTTGGAGGATTCCTCGAGGACGGTGTAGAGGCTTCCACACGGACAATACTCCATCACCAGCACCTTGTGCCGGGTGTTAGACTGAGAGAGGAAACACATTAAACACGTCTGAGCTGAGGAGAACACAGACAGAAGATTCAATATGAGATCAGAATCTGAATAAGAAAAAATAATAATATACAAAATAAATACAAATAAGAATAATATAAGAAAATTCAGCATAAAACAATTATTTAAAAACAAAGAAGAATAAAATAAAAAAATGAATGAATGAGAATAGAATAATAATAGGTAGTGTGATGAAGGGTCATGTTTCCCAGACCTCCTCCTCCACGGCGAACAGCTTCACGATGTTCTTGTGGTTCAGTTTCTTCAGGACCTCGAACTCTCTCATTTGAACGTCCAGCGGCCGCAGGAAGCTCAGGTTGTTGAACACCTTCACTGCGTACAGGTCGCCCGTTTTCTAACGTGTAATAAAACACACCATCAGCACCTTTACGCTGTAATAACATGTTCCCCTCGACTTTGACCTCAAACTGGGAATCTGACAGGAAGTGCTGGAGAAGCTGTCTTTATGTAAACAGTCTGTTCAACGTTCAGATCATCTGCTTCCCTTCCTGTTTCTCGGTAAACGCAGGGTTACAGAACTGCAGATAATAGAGAAGTTCCTCCAGTCTACAGATCAGATGTGTGTTTCTTAAAATATATATAAGTGTATTATATGTAGTGTAAAAATATATTTTTAAAAGAACCCTGAAATCAAAATCAGACTCAGGGACTTTTCATGTAGTTTTTTGCTAGAAATGCATAGTGATGCCGTGCTGCTGCTCTCTGATTGGCTGTGAGCCGTGCTGCTGCTCTCTGATTGGCTGTGAGCCGTGTTGCTGCTCTCTGACTGGCTGTGAGCCGTGCTGCTGCTCTCTGATTGGCTGTGAGCCGTGCTGCTGCTCTCTGATTGGCTGTGAGCCGTGCTGCTGCTCTCTGACTGGCTGTGAGCC